TTGGGAAAAGAGTGAAGTTTACTGGGCAGATGGACAAGAAGGAGAAACACGGGACATTGAGGTAATTGGTTTGTGTTTGTATGTTGTTGTAATAATAATAACAACAATAGTATAGTACAGGCCTATATTTGTGTAATGCACATAGCTTTGAAAATTAGCACTATTTGTCTAAACATAATTTGCAGCTTACTCTATCCTTTGTCTCTCTTTCTCTCTTTGTTTGTCTTACCTCTCATTGTTACATACACTTCTCATTGCCCCTTCTCCCCCCCCCCTCTCTCTCTCTCTTCATTATTATTTCCTTCTTATTTATTTTCTTCCTGTTTAAGTCATAATAATAATCATGTCTAGACTAGTCCTTTCAAGCTGTAGAATTCACACCAATGTTTCCTATTGTCTCTTCCTAGATATATTGGCAGTCCAGAGTTTGCTCCAGGCATTTGGTGTGGAGTAGAGCTTGATGATCCCCAAGGTCGTAACAATGGCTCTGTTCAAGGAATACGTTACTTTTCCTGTGCTGCTAATTACGGGCTATTCGTTCCTCTTGGGCGTGTTGAATTAGACCACACCCCCAGGCCAGCTAAAGTTCCTCGTCAGATCCCAGATAGGACAAAGAAGATCAAAGCACTCATGAATAAGAGTAGCAAGGGGAAGGAGGATCCATTCTTCTATCATACGTTTTCTGGTGTTCCTCGTGCTTCCTCTATTCCTTCTCTTAACATGATTGAGTCATCTGGTCGCTCGTCAACTTTAAAATCCTCTAACAGACAGGCCGACTGGTCTCCATGGCAACAGGATAGCTCCGCCCACAAGTTTACCGACATACCAGGTATTAGGATAAACGATTCTCTCTCCTCCTCCTCCTCCTCATCTTCTCTTCTTAACAAACGGTTCATTTCTGAAGCTAATTTATCTCGAAAGTCTAAAAGCACAAGTGGAGAGTCTCCACTAATATCAATCACTAACACTCCATCTCCTCAAAGAATCTTCCGGAAAACTTTAGGTAGTTTATCAAACGAGACTGACATTGGCTCCTCCTCGATCGGCTCCAGCTTAAGAGGGTCAACCAGCTGCAATGACTTGAATCAGATCAGTAACAGCCCCAGCCCTAGAAGAGGTGTCAGTCATTCTGTGCCATGCACTCCGTATGACTCTGAAGACTGCTACAGCAGCGCTTCAGATCTATCACGTCACAATAGCATATCATCTGATTCTGATCCAACCCCACACTCGTCTTCAGCTAGTCCTGAATATAATGAGAACGCTTTCATCTTAAGTCCAACTCATTCTACTTCAATAAAGCTTCTCTCTTCTCCCGAGTCCAGTCCCGCCCGTAGGATCAAATCCCCTGGTCTGTCTACTCTTGCCTCAAACTTGATTGAGGTTTCTCGGTCTAATGGAGCTGGAGAATATCGGGGACCTTCCCCCGAGGGGCCAGGGAGCCAAAAAAAGTTTCAGAACACTCATGGGGGTGGGCGTACTTTAGAACACCCCCTGGTGAATGGATGCAGTGCTTTGAAGACTAGAGACAGTGATGAAGAGAAACAAACTGAAGTAAGTTATGAAAGTTATATGTACAAGCACATTTTGCTATTCTATAATCCATCTATTATGTGTACATGTACATGTACGTATGTGTATTGTGTACTCTATGACACATTCATTGTATTGGTTTGTGTCAGTGGAAGGTACTTTCAAGTGGAAGGTTAGGGGATTGACCTGTGGTACATTAAGATGATAGAATGTAACATGTTCATGGTTTCACTTTTAATATTTTTATTGATATTTCCAGCAGTTTACATTCAGTTCTAAATATAGGACATGACAGCTAAACTTATCTCTCCCTTTTGACTTCTCCCTCCTTCTCTCTCTCCCCCCCTCTCTCTCACCTCTCTCTCCCTCTCTCTCACCCATCTCTCTCTCCCCTCTCTCTCTTCTTCCCCTCTCTCTCTTCTCCCCCTCCTTTCATAATTCTTATAATATTATCTCATATACACACATATAGTATAATGTTACTTACAATTCTCATTGTAATCATATCTCTACCATATCTCATGCATCATGGATACCAGAGCAGTATCCATAACATGCATGTACATGTATTCATTATTATACACATACATGTACATTGTACATATTTTTGTATGTACGTGAAATGAGCTAATAATGCATTAAGTCATCTTATCTCATTATTATTAAATTATTATAAATTATTATGAATTGCTTCTGACTTGCAATCGCTTCTCTGAAGCTCCACAAGCTCTTACTCCAGCACATTAGCGGCTTATCACTGTAAACATTTCAAGCGAATCATTTTATAACTGAGTCATGATATCAGCCACTTTAACTCTCTTTTCATGATCCATAGGGCACCATTAGTCGTCATAGCAATACAAGAAGTCCTGATGAAATATTCAATCAGTTGGAGTCGTGTTTACGTCAACAAAGTAAGCCCCACCCACAGACTGTATTACTCCACACCCACACAATGACCATATCTCATACCACTGGGTATACTGCCAGTTGTGATTGACTATTGTTACAGCTATAGTGATATTATTATTTGCATTTCTACATTTAGAGTGTTATTATAACATTAATCATTATATAGATCGTATAATGTTATCTTATATGCTTACATAGTGTTATATTGGATCAGTTTCCACTCTTGATTACACTGATAGGGTAAACCCCTGTCTTTGATTGTCTTTCATAAAGCACCTCCATTATCTCTAATGTGACCAGATAGAAATGAGTCCTGTCATATCTAGTAGTTCTTGTAATAATGAAATGTGCGTTCTTTTAGTATGACACACAGTGTGTAGTGATTCTTAAGTATACTTATAATGAATTAATGATTAACTACTATATATAGTATTAGTATTAACTGTCATTATCTCACAGTTCTAATTCTATAGTTCTGTTTATGCTAGTATTCATAGTATACTCACCCACTCTCCTTCCTTACAAATATTCACTTGAACTTATAAGCTACTGTGGTTTAATGATATTGCTATTTAAGATAAAGATATTAATTTCATTACATTAAGCAGCCTGAATCTCCCTCCCTCTATGTCTCTATTACTTGTTTTCCTATGAGCTTGTGTTGTTGTTATTCATGAAAGTGTGTTCATTCCTATACTGCCTTTGTTGTCATTATATTATTGAGTATCCATTACTAATGAACATACCATACCTTATCACTGACTATTGATCGTTTATGAATTATTAGTTTGTTTACATGAAACAACAACAACAACTGATTGTTGATAATTGAAACATGGTAATATTTGTTACTCTTCACTTTCTTTCCAACTTCTTTCTCTCTCTGTTCCTCTTTTAAAGGTCTGACTGATTCTCGTGTTAAAAGTCTCGAAGTGTCTTTAAACTCATTTAAATCGACTCTACTCTCAGCAATGAAAGAAGGTATAATGATGAGGGTGATTAGGGAGGAGGAGGGTGGGGTACATGTAGGAGGATGTGTACTTGTAAATGACATAATTTTATTAAAATAGTTTTACTGTTGTATTCTATTACTATCAGGTACATACCGTATTCATGTCCTTATGCTGTGTAGAAAGTTTGAACTGATTCTGACTTCAAATTTTTAAGTTATAACCATTTGAAAAATGAGCCAAAATTTGAAAAAATCCCTGTACTATAGCCCATGGTTTTTTCCAAAAATGGGTCAGAAATCACCCCCAATTTTTATTATATTTTCTGATACATATTGATGTCCTTATGCTATGTAAAAAATTTGCGCTGATTCCGACTTCAATTTTTCAAGTTATGGCCATTTTAAGAAATTGGCCAAAATCTGAAAAGTCCCCTGTACTATAGCCCATGGTTTTTTCCGAAAAATGGCTCCGAAATTACCCCCAATTTTTATTACATTTTCTGACACATATTGATGCCCTTATGCTATGTAGAAAGTTTGAGCTGATTTCGACTTCAATTTTTCAAGTTATGAGGTTTAAAAGCCCCAGGTCCTGGAACAAAATGCCCTAGCTCCTATATTACAGCCTTGTTGTTAATGACAATAAATCACTCAATGATAGTGATATTGAGACAACTTGTAAACAAGGGCAGGTACTATTAGGTTAATTAGGTGAATTATGTTTATAGCATGTGTTAAGCATGTGCTCTTTGAGGTCTGACTTTAATTCATTATAAGCTCTTCAATAGAATAGCTCCTTATATGGTTAAGATTTCATTGATAATGAATGAGAGTGAGTGTCTGTGTGCATGCAACAGTTTTTTGAAGTATTATAATGGAGTATAGTGTACATGTACTCACTGTATTGGTAGAGAATGTTATGAGATAGTGCATGAGGTTAATTGTATTGTATTGATGGCTTCTGTTACTAAACTATGTCTATCTTTTCCTTCTCTTCTCATCTTCCTTTACTTTACACTACCCTCCTCCCTCCTTCTCCTCCTCTCTCCTTATCTTTTTTCCTTTTTGTGTAGTTGAGGAGTCCTTCCATAAACAGGTTAGCTATTAAAGATATTATGAATGCAATATGATATGCTTCTTAATTTTTATTGAATTTGTGCATGGACTATGGTCATTTTTAATACTAAAAACAATCTTTTTTGTTTTTTGGAAAGTGACAATGTTATTAATAGCTATGTCTTTACTAGGTTGAAGAGTTGAAGTCATTTCATAAGAAGGAGGTTCATGAGTTACAGTCTAAACATGATAAGGAGCTGATGGAGATGCATTCAAGTTACCAGTCAGCCATTGAAAGTGAATACATCAACCATCCTTTATCCTGTACTTGATAATTTCCTTATTATTTAGAATTAAGACAAGAGATTTCTCACAAAAGGAGTTAATGAAGAAGTACTAATACTAGTCTCATTAGA